AGCCTGTTACTAGCTGGGCCTCTCCCCAGGCGAGAGGCTGATGCTGTCACATTAAGTACATCTTTAGACCCAGCCAGACATCGGTTGTTCCTGGCCTCAGACAAGTGGGTTATCGTACGAGGCTGACTGTGCTGTAGTTGGTCCAGCGTGCACATGTTGAGGACCTACTTTGTGTCCCTGCGTGTTCCCTGTTACACAGGATGCATGGCTGTGCATTCCCTTACCGTACCTTGTACGCTTGCCAGCTGATTGCCTTCCTCCGCCAACCGCGAGAGGACGCCAGAAAACGGGACGGAGTCAGAGAAGAACCCTAGGCTCTCCACTGCCTGGCTGTGCTCTCTTAATGAAAGATGTTTTCTTTTTTTTTTTAATGTTTTGTTTATTTCTAGGAGAGAGAGAGAGAGACAGCATGAGCAGGGGAGGGTCAGAGAGAGAGGGAGTCACAGACTGAAACAGGCTCCAGGCTCTGAGCTGGCAGTCAGCACAGAGCCCGACGCGGGGCTTGAACCCACGAACCGCGAGATCATGACCCAAGCGAAAGTCGGACGCTTAACCGACTAAGCCACCCAGGCACCCCGAAAGATGTTTTCATCCACTCTGTTGGGACCCTTTCCCTTGGGCCATTCACTTCTGTTTTATCCCGCTGTGCCTTGGTTCTATCCTCTAAGCTCTGAATTCGAGGGCTGCTTGGTGTAAGCTTAAAGTCCCAGCAGCTTCCCATCCCCTGTACCTCACCCTCCTATTTCTGAAGGTACCCTAACTATGAATTCTTAGAACCCTCCCTTTTTTTTTGGGGGGGGGGCAGATTCCGACTTAGAGGGGTGTGCAAGCTGAGTCTGGGAGAGTTGGGCCTTGTTCCCGGGGGAGGGTGGGGTAGGGGAGGTGGCATTCATTGATCTCAGACTCTGTGCTCTGTGCCCTGCCAAGTGCCTGAGAGCCAGAGGCCAAGCATAGTCTTTCCTGGCTGCCCCTTCTTTCTCCCCTTCTCCTCCACACCTTCTCCTGGAAGGATGCATGTTCTCTGGCGTCTGGGTGGCTTTGTGTTCCTCTTCCTGTTCAGAGAATGTCAATTTCCTTCCTTCTTACTATTCTCTCACTGGCCTCCCTTCAGGTCTTTTGTCTCTCCTTTAGTTTAAATTCTTTTTAATATCGTATTTATTGTTGTTCCTCATAATCAGGGATTCTTTGATGGTCTTGGTAGGAAGCAGCTTGGGTTCCTTTTAGAAAAGGGCCTTTCAGGGGCTGCCCTGTGGCAAAAGAAGAATGAGTAGAATTTGCGTGGCATCTGCTTGTGCCCAGAGAAGGGACTTCGGAGGCTGTGCGCTGGATACTAGGCCCTGCTCTTGCAGGTCTCTGGGCCCACCCAGACCCTCCAACAGGCAGGCTGGGCTCAGCTGTGGGAACTCTGGGTTGTGATCCCAAAGGTAATCGGGAATGACAAACGTTACCGCACAAGCCTTAGGGTCGGAAAGCACCTCAGTGGTTTCCGAGCCCCCGTCTGTGGCCTGGCCGCCTCAGAACCACCAGGGACGGATTTACCTCCGGGGCTTGGCCAAGTCATTATTCTGACGGGAAGAGATTGAGAGAGACTGAAAAAAAATGCCAAGTCCTGAAGTGTTTTCTTCCAGGCCATAGGGTCACGAGTGATTTTCTTTTCTCTTCCCTCATGTCTTGTCGCTCCAGTTTTTCTGCAGTTAACATGTATTACTTTTATGACTAAATAGACAATAAGTGTTACTTCTAATTTAAAAACTGTCAACCCAGGGAGTTGGTTCAGTGTACAAACTCCCGGACCCTCTTGGTGGGGATTCTGACCCAGCCAGTCTGGGTGGGACCTGGGACTCTGTATGTGTCACAGCTCCTCAGTGGATTCTGTGACACAGTCAGGTTCAGGAACCACTGACCTCATACCATGCCTGCATTTCACTTACTAGGGAAGTGAGGACTCATAGACAGGCTGGTGGGAAATCCCGGCCTCCAGCAGGTCCTCTGATCCCTGGCCCAGGGAGCCATCCATCCCGTCCGTACAGGGCCTTCCTTGCTGATTTATTTACCCTGAGGCCTGTCACAGGCAGAAGCAAGGGGCCTGGGTCCTCCCCGAGGGTGGGCCTATGCCCCGCCTCCTGTACCTAGGCCTGCCTGTGTCTCCCAGCCAGACCTCAGTCCTCCACTCTGACAGCACTCTCTGGCCCACAGCTGCTTCTGGGGACCCCACTACCCCTAAATGATGGGAGTGAGGATGCTGCATTGCCTCATCCCCAGACACCTCAGGGCCCATTAAGTTACCCAGGCAGCAGGTGGCTTCCATTAGGGAAATTTGGGGGGAAACTGAGGCATACATAAATGGAATTGGCCTAGGCCCCAAACTCCCTTCCTTGGCCATTGGGCTCTTTTGATCTGCTTTTGAGAAGGAGAGGAGAGAGGATCTGCTTTGGCATAAAGAAAGGTATATGCTGGCACTCAGAACCCAATGATAATGGGTAAGGACATTGCTCTAGGGCCAGGTAGTCTGGATTAATTCAGTCCCTGGCACTTACTAGCCATGTGGCCAAGTTACCTAACTCTTTCCATGTTCTCATCTAAATTGGGGATGGTAGTATATAGCAACCTCATAAGATTGTTGAAAAGGCCAAAGTTGAGAAGGAGGTGTCTCCAAGTCACCTGGGGATCTTGTTAAAAATGCACATTCTGGGGGTGCCTGGGTGGCTCAGTCGGTTAAGTGTCCAACTTGGGCTCAGGTCATGATCTCACGGTTTGTGAGCTCGAGCCCCATGTCGGGTTCCATGCTGACAGCTCAGAGCCTAGAGCCTGTTTCAGATACTGTGTCTCCCTCTCTCTGCCCCTCCCCCACTTATATTCTCTCTCTCTCTCTCTTTGTCTCTCTCTCAAAAATAAATAAACATAAAAAATTTTTTAAATTAAAAAAAAAATGTACGTTCTGATTCAGTAGGCCTGCATTTCTAGTAAGCTCCCAGCTGATGCAGAGGCTGCTGGTCCATGGACCACACTTTGAGAAGCAAGGGCATAAAACACTCTGAACATAGCCTGGTACACTCAGTGTTACCATTCTTGTCATGATCGTGGTTGTTATTGTTCCTTGGCCTTTTCAAACAGGCACCTGAAGAGACTTGGAATTCCAGCCTCTCCTGGGGCCAGTGTTTTCCTGGATTTTCCTCCTGTTCCGCCAAATGACCTTTGCACCTGTCCAGGGCGGCAGCTGGGGGCTGGAAACAGGAGGAGGGTGCTCTGCCCAGCTGCTGCAGGCAGGCCATCGTCTTCAGGTTTTGCAGCTGAGTTCATTTTCACGCTGCTCTACTCTAACCAGATTTTGTTAAGCCGGGTGTGTTTCCTCTTTTTACTCATCTTTGTTTACAAAACACAAGGAAGCCATCATTCCCCTGCACAGTCTGCCAGGACTCCTCTGTGGCACACCCCGATTTCCCCTCCTGGCAGTAGCCGCGACTCCAACTTTCTGGGTTGTGTTCCAGGCTCCATTCCTTAGGGAGGGCGAGGGGGAGGGACATGCTGTTGCCCCAGACAGTAGTGGGGGCATTCTGTTCACCTACCTTGGCAGGACCCTGAGGTCAGCCGCAGTTGACATCTCACCCCCCTTCCCTTTGTGGCCCAAGGTAGGGTGAACGGAACCCTCACTGTTGGGAACCCACCCGGGTACCTGGCGAAAGTTCTGGAGGCCAGGGCCAGCCGTGCCCATGAAGCTCTGAGGGGGCAGGGGACCTGGGCTCACTTTCCATTCTGCCACTGACTTACCCTGTCCCCTTCATCTAAGAGGAGTTGCCTGATAGGGGCCGGGCAGTGATTAAAGACAGCCTAAGAAGGGCCCCGGCTCTGTAGACTCTTCACAGGAACACGCTCACTGCTAGGGCCACTGAAGTAATCGAGGTCCAGCCCGTGCTGGCTTCCTCCTGCACACTGGCTTTTATTCTCCTACCCACCGAGGACCCTGCGGAGAGGGCCCCCTGTCCAGTCCTCCTGCCCTGGCAGACAAAGAAAGAACAAAGACTCCCTCTTCCACCACCCCAGTCCCTTTGGGGCCTCTGCTGCCCCCCCCCCCGCCCTGCCCTAGGGGGAAATGGTACCTGTGTGGGCGGGGCACCAGCCGCAATCCTGAGAGCCACTGACCTCTGCCCTTTGCCCCCAGCTTCCCCGCCTGACAGTAGGACCCGGGATAACCCCCAGAGAGTAGTGTGCATTCTTTGTTTTTGTTTTGTTTTCAAGTATGTTCTTGCTTAACGTTTAATTGGCTCCAGTCAGTAGGAAAGCGCTCCAAGAGGGATTATTTATGGCTTACTGTCAAGAGCAGCTATAAAAAGGGCAGCACTGAGCTGGAGATGCTGGGAAGGGAGAGAGGGCAGGCGCACAAGTGTGTGTGTGTGTGTGTATGTGTGTGTGTGTGTGTGTGCGCGTGTGCGTGTGTGTGTGTGTGCGTGTTTGCACTGGATGAAATCAGATTTTTGCTGCCTCAGCAGTGTGGTTTAAATTGAAGATTAACCCTTTGACCTTCACAGTGTCAAATCACTTGCAGATGGAGACTCCCCCCCTCATCCCCCCTTGTTCTCTGTGTTACTTTGGAGTTGGGGGGAGGGAGGGGACGCTTCTCTTTCTTTCTGAAGAAAGTTTGTTGTTCATGCAGCTGAGGTTTGAGGGGCTCAGGAGCCAATCTGATTAAAAGCAGCACTTGGCTAAACTCTGGAAAATCCTGCAAGCAGGGGAAAAGTTTAATCCTCCTATGCACAATGCATAAAGAGCCTGGTCTTTTCTTTTTAATGTTAAAACTGCAATTGTTTTTGGAGAACTCAACTATCTCCCCCCCTTCATCGGCCACTCCTCTCATCCCCCCCACCAGGGTTTGCTCTACTGATAGCATTAAAAGGCTGCCCCCAGACTTGTCTATCTGACCATTTATTGGGAATGATAAGGTGTTGTCAAGGCTACAGGCTACGCTTAGGAGTTACGTTGATTTTTTTTCCTCCCCCTTTCAGCACCAGCAAAACCGAAATCGAGTGTGGTGGCAAATCCTCCTCTTCCTACACAACCTGGCCCTGAATGCAGAAGAGAACAGGAATGGGGCAGGTCCCAGGTGAGGCTGGGCCGCCCTCTCCGCATGGACCATCACAGGAAGGACATCGGCGAGGACTGACCCCGCGTCTTGTGAAGTCTGTTCATTGCTGTTTTGTGTTTGCGTTTTAAAAGTTTCTGTGTACATAAGACATACCCAAGCGAGACCTATTTCCCTGTTCAGGACCTCACCGGGAATGAGGGCCGTTGTCAAACACTGTTGAAGTAGAGGCTGATGTGTCTGTGATGTGGGACCTCCCGAGGGCTCTGACAAATCACGTCTTCAGTGAGCCGTTGAAGATGACCACATAGTGATGTCCTCCGGCGAGTGGACTGTAGTTTTCCCAGAGGAGCTTGGTTAAGAAATTAGGGGACCGGGTTAGACTCCTGGCTGCACCAAAACTATGAGCCTCTCACCGTGGACGGGGCCAAGACCTGACTGCTTTAATCCCCCAGGGCCTCGGCCAGGGGCTTTCCAGCTGAGCAACTTCGCTAGGCCAGTCCGCCAGCTCTGTATCTGAGTTCTCCTTTGGCACAGACAGTGCCTGCCCCAAGGGCTCAGGGATTGTCACCCAGCCCCTGTCATCTCCAGCAAGACCTCAGGGAGGGTTGGGTTTCTCCAAGGACCCCCTCAAACGTGCCGCAAAATGAACCAAACTTCCCGGTAGGCCTCAAGTCTTACTTGGACCCACTCAGAGGCCCCAGAATTGGTCCCGAGGTGCAGAACCCTGCTCCCACTGGCTGCCTGGGACTGGCCGGGCATCAACCACGGATGAGCCAAAGAGCCAATGATCATGCCATAGACAGGAGCTTGTGCCTTCGTCAGCTCTTCTTTCAAAAGCCCCAGCCAGCACACTGCTTTCCTGCCCCACGATCAGCACTCTAGAGCATGAAGGGGCAGGATTGCAGTGGGGCTGGGAAATGTGGGGGCCTTCCCACCTACAGGAAGAGTCAGCCCTCCAGGAACCCAGAACCCCTGGCTTCCTTGGAAACAACATACCTCCTCCCGCTTATCCCCCTTCCTTTTTCACACCTAGTGGGATACAGGCAGAAGCCAGGACAGTGGCTTTGTTAGCTGAAATGTGTCTTTTAGAGTAACAGACAATGCTTAGAGTGTGGAACCGGCAAAGCTGGGTACTCATTTCCTGTCTTCCTTCAGCTTCCAGCTAGGCCAGAAGGGCGTGCTCTGGAGCTCGGCAGGATCACAGCTGCCTCAGAACTTCCCTTCTCTCCCTGCTGTGGCACTAATGGAGAGAATTTAAAGGAGCCAGTCTGGCAGCTCTGATAGTAGATGCGGGGAATCTGGAAAGACACGGGGAATCGGTTAACCAGACACCGTAGAAATTAAATTATAATTTTTGCATATGTAAGAAAAGATAACATTGGTGCTAACGTGAAGCAAGGCCCAAAGAAAAGGCAGAGAAGACCTCTGGGCTCCCCAGGGAAACTGGAGGAGCCCAAATAGACTCTTAACTCTAAACAAGTCCAAGCTCCTCCCGTTCTACAGAGAGGAGGTCTTCAGTACTGTTGAAGGAAGCATTAATCTACTGGATGTACAGTTGGGCAGGTTGTTCACTGCACAAGGGCACCTGCAGAAGAAGATAATGGATGCTGAAATCCAGCTCACGCTTTGCCCGCCAGGCTACATGCCCTAGCGTTGGGCTATGTCTGCTCAGAAGAAGGGGTGCCTTTCCTCATTTGCACAGAGGTGCCATATGGGCTCACAGTGGCCCTGAGGTGAAGGACCTCAAACTGTGCATCAGCCTTTGTTTTGTTCTGCTTGGATGTTCTGAGGTATTACCTCTTCTTGGCTAGAATTCCATTCTCAGGGTGTGTACCATGGTTTGTCTGCTAAGAAGATGGGTTCCTGCTTCCAAGAAGGAGCCCAGGGAACAGGTGAAGACCAGCCCTGGGACACGCTGACCATTGTGAAATGCAGCCTTCCTTGCGTGTCTCCACACCATTTTATGATATGCATTGGACATGGGTGGTTGTTCTCCCTCTCCTGGACCGAGGCTGTGACGGGCAGGGTGCTGGTGCGTGCTCCAGGGGCACATATAAGAAAACCAGGATTATTTCTGCCAGCCGCTTTGAACCCCTCCTCTTAGACCTCCCATCTAAGCTGAGTGAGAGAGCAAAGAGATGGTCTAGGTGCTGAGGCAAAGCCACCAGCTTCAGAGAGCTTGCCGGGCCCAGGCAGGATGTCCTGTGGCCTGCCCTGAGAACTGAGCCCAGACTTTGACAAGACCACCTGAACACTGAGGCTGGGGCCAGGTGGAGGCTGGTCTGACCTGCTGTCTCCATCCTCTGTGACGCCAGGAACTAGCTCTGGATCCTAAGCAAGCTGGGGCAAAATTCTAAATCCCCTCCTTCCTCTTCCCCCAAAACACACCCAGGAGGTAAATAGCCCCAGGAGGGAGAGAGGTTCCTCCTGGCTGGCTGTTTTTAATTGGCCTAGTGATCTAGACTGGCCCCTTCCCCCTGGGCCTGCTGAGTTGGTCTGAACATTCCTCAAGTCCAGCCTCAGGAGACACATCCCTCCCTCTCGGCCCCCTTTCCCCATCCCCCACCCCGGGGAGCATGGCTGTGTGTAGTTAGGGGTTGGAGAAGCAGATCTGGAGGGAGGGAGACTCTGACCTGGCTCGTGACCTGTAACCAGCTGAAGACTTACGGAGTTGTTGTGGTTTGCTGAGGGTGAGGGGCGGGAGAGGGACTGGAAACCTTCCTTTCATTATAGAAAAGCCCTGGAGGGAGGAAGCCCGACATTCAGGGTCAAAATAGCCCTTCTAATTCAGAACCCTAGAGTAGGGGTTTCTGGAAGCTGGTCGACAGCACTGGGGAGAAAACCCCACCCAGGCCAGACATCTGACCCCCTCAGGGGGTTGGAGGACCCGGCCTGGCCTTTCTGCCTTTGCCTGCTTCGAAGTTTGGGCCACTGGAGAACTGTCCCCGTGGCGTTTTCTTGCTTAGTCCAAGGGAGAGAAGGATCACCTCGCAGTGACCTCCCCAAGCCTGAGGAGTGTGGGTCTGTGTCCAGAGCTTACGTGTCAGGCGTGCTCAGAGGGACCCAGCTGACTTGTCTCACTGTCCCCAGTGGCCCAGCCTCATCCAAGGATGGCTCCAGCCCAAGCATGACGGGGAGGGGGTTGTTTGGGATGGTCCCGCCAGGGCCCCCACCGGGGGCTGGAGAGCCACTGTGCCTGTCCTGGCCAGCAAGGAGCACACTGAGAGCTGGCAAGCGTATGTCGTTTGGTGGACTTGATGAAGAGGGGGTCAGGAGAGGTGGAGAGCAGCCAAAACAGAAAGACTTCTGCCTTCACGGCTCAGCAGGGCTTCTGGGAATCAGTGTTCAGCCTGGGCTGCAGAAAGCTGCCAGGCCCCCTGGGTGCTGAACCCTGGCTGGACTCAGTCCAGAAAGGGGTTAATTTATCAGCCTTCGAGGCTTCTGGGCACACTGTGGGCAGGGGACACATCGGCTGGTGGGGACTTTGAGCTCTGAGGGAGTGACGCAGAAAGCCGAGCTCTTCCATAGATGCATCAGCCTTGCAGACACAGGTGCTGAGCACAGGCTGCGGGTCTGTGCTGCCCCCCACTCCCCCTGCACAAGTGGCCAGCGCCTCTCCCTGCTCTCTGAGCAATGCGAATGGGCTGCCCCGTCCCCAGGTCCACAGGGGCTGTCAGGGGGAGACCCAGTGAGAATGTAGCGTTTTGCTCGGCCCAGGTTAGTTGTCCTGGGTTCTAGGCACTCTGCCTCTGGGAGAGAGACAGAAAGAGAGGGAGGGGAGAGGGGATCCGGTGTTTTTTTAACCTGTACAGAGTATTCGGCTTTATATTCTTCACATGCGTATGTGTGATGTATGTGTGTGTGTGTGTGTGTGTGTGTGTGTGTGTATTTTCCCCCCATCAATTGGTACAGTTTGTAATAAAACCATTTAAAGCAAAGCTGGTCTTTCTTTTTCAGGGTGTGGTAAAAATACAAGGGGGTCCATCAGGGAATTAGACTCTAGTCCTGAGTTACCCCCATGCTTCCCGCTTTTTTGAGGACTTCCTTTCCGTAGCAGAAGAGCCATGCTGACCTTGCCATAAGCAGCACAGGGGAGGCCCCATGAGCTGGGAAAACAGGGGTGGGGTGGGGTGGGGGAAGCTTTGGATCCAGAGCTGGATTTGGGTCTGGTTCCAGCCTCCACCAACAGAATGATCTTAGCCTTCAGCTCATCCGTGTGCACGTGTCAGCTATGCCTGTCTGCAGGATGAGAGGGGAAGTGCAAAGGCACTCAGCGGTGGCAGCCTTGGTGACAGAAAATGCCCTGGCAGCCCCTCTGCTCTGCCCTCCCCTACCCTCCTCTATCAAGCTGGACTTTGGTTTCCTTTCATCAAGGTAGCATCTCAGCAGGTATGCTAGTTGTAGGGAGACTTCTGGCTTGCCTTTCTTAGTGGCTTAACAATGTGTCAGACTCCGAAGGGCAATTTAAGGCCCTTGGCAGAATTCTGAAAATCTTGGGGCAGGGGCGGGGAGAACCACTTTCGGCCCTATCTGCAGAAAGCTGTGAGCCCAAGGTCACAGCCAACGTCATGCCTTATCTGAGCGCCGGGTCCCCAAGATTTAGGAGAACTTCAGCTCTCTCAGGGCCAGCTTTGAACTCTGGTTCATCTACTCTCCTAGATGGTGGGAGCTTGAAGTCCCATCAGTTGTTTTGCCTTACCTCTTCATTTTATGGATGAGTACACTGAGGCCCGGAAAGGGGATGTAAGTTCCCATTTGGGCTTTTTAAGTCGCTGAGTCAGTCGGAGGGGGCCCTATGCTAACCATCTCAGTTTCCATTTGGAAATTACAGTGCTCTTGCCCAGATTTGCAGGGAAGCTAAAGCTTGTCTATTTTTAATGCCAAATAACTGCCTCTTATCCTGTAAAACATGGCACTTCTGACCGCTCTATATTTGGACGGAGAGGTTTATTTTTACTGGAGTGCGGTAGGAGCGGGGCCGGTGCCACATCCGGATGTATTGTACACTTCACGTGCTGGGTTGTAGTCGAGCCCGTTAAGCAGCTCCTCTGGGGAACACAGGGAATTAGTAGGTGATTGGTGATGGTGATGTCTTTCAAGGCATCTGCTTTGGGTAAGGCTGCGCTCAGTCATCCAGGCTAGAAACCTGAGAGCTCACCCTTGCCCCCGCCTCTCCCTCCCTTTCTCCCACTGATCCCTCCAGAGATCCCAGGAGATGTTAAAGGC